ATGAGGTTTTGCGACGTTGCAGCGTGGAGATCAAATGCTTCCATATGATAAACACTTTGCTAAGGTTGGGTTCAAAACGAAGAAAAGGGATACCCGATCCAAATGCCCCGTGCTCGCGTTTCGGATAGCCAGGTAACGCGCAACGCATGGAGATGCAGACAAGCAGAGGGGAAGGCCAGAGCCGACGGGCATTGGCCCTGGTCCCAGATCTCCGCAGGTTTTAACGAAGCCCTGCAACATCATATATCATTCTGATCGTCATGACACGAGTGGTACAGACAATGTTGCAGCTTAAGTCACTCATTATCGAGGTAAACCCGTTCGTGCGCTCTTATAGGCAGATTTAGCGCAGTTTCTAGTTTTCATTGAACTCCAGCAGCTTATGCGAACTTCTGAAATGTGGGGAAATTTTCACAAAAAAACTTTTTATCGTAACACAGATATAAACACGCAAATATTCTTTTTTACTGGGACATTCAAAGATATTATTTCCTATACTTGGTTCATTCACATTCATTCCAATTTGGTTATGATCATAACATCCGAGGCTTCGCCCCAGATGACTTCTGCTTTTTTTTTCGGGTTAAGCTTATGCTTTCTCTGGAGCGCTCAAGTGATTACATGATTCTATGTATCGAGAGTATCTCTCCTCTCAGATAGCCCTCCCCAGCGGGGATATACGTGAACATGGGCCTCGATCATTTATTTATCTATTTATTTGTTTTGTACGTAGGCGCGCAATGTGTTGAATTGAGAAAAGGCAAACATTACAAAACAAACATCAATCACAATACAAAGAACTTTAACTAGAGATTGTGTACAGAGTAGATGAATACTAGGGGAGGAGCTATAGAAGACATACTTCTGAGTAGAAATCCCGTTAAGAATTTTTGCAGCAACAATCCATCCTAGTCCGCCAACGGAAATGCCCATTACAAGGCAGGGAGCACCCCGAAGGCCCGACAAGCAGCTAAACAGGCAGCCCCCGCCAGCATAACCCTAGCAGGGGCCGCCAGTATACCCGCTCGTCAAACCCTCACGCGCGCACGCACGACCCAGCCATGACCCCCACCGGTGAAGAGGTTGATGAGTCGGGTAAGAAAATTCAACAAAATAATTGTTACTCGGATATGCCTTTTAGAGCTCGCTAGTTCCATTGAGATGAATAGCACATGAGTGAATTTGAATTGAAGAGGTAACATGGAAAGGCAGCTACACTGTTACACTTGATCAATCTATTCGAAACAAAGGAAAAAGCAGGCATGGCTAGGAGTGCTGCACAAGCAGCCAAAGAAGATAGGAGAATCTAAATCACTATTCAACATCTGGAATTTGTAGCAAATCAAGAACATCAATTTTGGAAATAGCTTTTTCAAACTGAAACGAATTTTTGAGACCTAATAAAGAGGACAGACATTCAAGCCATTTGGCCGTCTTTAAGATAAAAGTACTTAATCGGAGAGCACGATTTGAGGTAGGTAGCCTGGAGAATCAAAAAGCGACAGAACCATGGCGACCATAGAAGGGCGAAAAGCCCAAAGTTTACAAAGCTTTAAAAACTCGCCTCTAAGTACTTGAATGTTGAAATCAAATCATATTTTTCTATAATGCAGACTTTTAAGATTCAATTTTTCCAGACGATTTTTGTAAGAAGGCAAAGTTTGAGGATAATGAGAATCTGGAAAAGCACGGTTATAAAACTCTAGTGAATACCCTCTGGACGTTTTCAATTTTATTGATTTCCTTTTTGCAAAAAGGTTTCCAGACGGGGCTACAGCATTCAACTAGCGGAAGTATAAACATTTTGTATAATTTGATCCAAAGAGCTGTAAATGTTTCTGAAAAGACATTACGATAACCTCAGACTTTTCTCGACTAGAGTTTCAACATGATTTTCGAATCTAAGCCCCTTGGTTATTGAAACTCCGAGGTCATGCACCCTATTGGCAACAGTCATAGATCTTAGTTCATCACCATGGATACTCATTCACTTTGAGGTGCCAAAGCTTGGCCCACTTAAACATTTTTTTCAACAGACTTATTTAAAGCTGTTTGGACCTCTTCTTTCTCATTTTCATTATAGATTGCTGTTACCTCAATGTCATCAGCATAAGCGTGCACAAAAATTCTGCAAAATTCAAAACAGTGCTAGGTTTTTAATTATAGTTCCCTGTAAATTAGAGACCTAGCACTTCCGACGGTCGTTGTCGTAACTTTCTCATACATTACTGACGGTTTAGTACTGTCAATAAGCGGTGACTAGTGCCAATCATGGAGAGGGGATTTTTTGGAGATTATTCCGCCGTTATCACTGTTATCAAAGTACAGCTGAGAAAAGTTGAATGTGGGAGAAAAGCACAGTTACGCTTTATCTGAGACGTGCAGAAAAAGACGCAATCCGAGGAGTTCCCCTATGGAAGTAATTGTAGCGCAGCTATTCTAGAATCAAAATAAGTTCCGAAGCATTTGCAAGCTTTTACATTTAACAGGGACTAATAAATTATCCAAACATGCAACTCGTATTGCTCGGTAGGTAGGTACTCGAAAGGACTCGGTATAGAACAGCTTTATGCAATTACTTGTCAACAAGGCAAAAGAATTACCACTGATAAATGATGCAGCATTGTACCCCCAGATATAGCATGGGGACAAAACAGTCTAAATAAGGTATGTTGTACGATCATAGCTCGCGGAAGCCTGTCTTACATGAATTTCCTATATTAATGCACATGATTTCATTTTCAGCTAATCGTCAAGTAATCATTTATAAAGCTTCTTATATAAAACTAGCTGGCTTACCCGGCTCCGCCGTATCCGGACCAAACTTGGCACACATACACTTCGGGCCCCGGCGGGTGTCATAGTCCACTTTTCGTTATCGATCGATGTCGATTTTACCGATTTTTATCGATTTTTTTGCAGAGTTCACCTACAGGGCTAGGAGTTGGCACAGGGGGAAGTGAGCATGGGGATTCCGAATACAATATTAGTTTTCAGAATTATCGATTACTTTTGTTGATTTTATCGATTTTTTGTAAATTTTGACATGCGAGGCTGGGATTTTGCACAGGGGGGTAATCGAGCATGCTGATTACGAACACAATATTAGTTTTCAGGATCGTCCATTACTTTTATCGATTTTATCGATTTTTTTGTAAAGTTTGACCTGCGGGGCTGGGAGTTTGCACAGGGGGGTAATCGAGCATGCAGATTACGAATACAATATTAGTTTTCAAAATCGTCCATTACTTTTATCGATTTTATCGATTTTTTGAAAATTTGAGCTAGGGGGCTGGAATTTGGCACAGGGGGTAATCGAGCATGCTGATCACCCCCTTGGGGATGATCAGCATGCTCGATTACCCCCCTGTGCCAACTCCCAGCCCCCTAGCTCAAACTTTGCAAATAATCGATAAAATCGATAAAAGTAATCGATAATCCCGAAAACCAATATTGTATTCGTAATCAGCATGCTCGATTACCCCCCTGTGCAAACTCCCAGCCCCGTAGCTCAAACTTTGCAAAAAAAATCGATAAAATCGATAAAAGCAATCGATAATCCTGAAAACTAATATTGTATTCGGAATCCCCATGCTCGATTACCCCCCTGTGCCAACTCCCAGCCCCGTAGCTCAAACTTTGCAAAAAAATCGATAAAATCGATAAAAGTAATCGATAATCCTGAAAACCAATATTGTATTCGGAATCCCCATGCTCGATTACCCCCCTGTGCCAACTCCCAGCCCCGTAGGTTAACTCAGCAAAAAAATCGATAAAAATCGATAAAATCGATATCGATCGATGACGAAAAGTAGCCTATGACACCCGCCGGGGCCCGAAGTGTATGTGTGCCAAGTTTGGTCCGGATCGGTTCAGAAATGGAATTTTCTATTCGGAACATACGTACACACAGACATACATACATACAGACAGACATACAAACAGACATTCAGCTTTATATATAAGATTGAGCGTTTTTTGCTATCTATGCATGTTTCATATTGACATAGAAAAATTCTAATTTCGGTTGACTTGGACCAAAAAATGCAGCTTGACATGATTCTTTTCGTTTTAAGCCTGCGAGTGATATATATACAGACCAAACTGGCCGAAAATCAACGTTGTATGTGACTGTCAAGAATATAAAAACTGTAATCCACATAGTTCTACCGTTTTTTGAATTTTGGCACAAAGGAGCAGTCAATAGATACATTGCAAAGCTATTGAATTTTATCGGTTGATATGGTCGTTGTTACAATCTTCCCAGTTTGCTGCAGAAATACAAAGAAATTGTGGAAGATTTGTTCCTACAGTTCGCCGCGCTATTTCCGAAGGCCATCGATGCGAGAGATTTAGACGTCCTGTTTTGAGTGTTGTATTCATATTCGTTTTCCTCAAAATCATGGCGAACGGTTTTTTGCAGTGGATCGCACTTTAAACTTTGGTGTGAAGGCCTTTATACTCGCCATCTTTCAAATGTTGAGAAAACGCTATTTGCACAGGATAAAAATATACAGTGAGTACAAAGCACAGTCATATTACATGCACCTTAGTTTCATTTCTATATGCACTATAAAAGTGAGAGCGTTCTAACAATGTTTTATCTATAGCTGCCACCTCAACTCCATATTCTTTGCATGAGACAGCCTCAACGACGCCTTTAGCTCGGCTCGTGATAAAACATTGAATACAGTTGATTGCCGCTTGCGTTCGCACTGATAATAGCCCAAATGTTGACAATAGAACACTCTGTTCTTTGTTGGGTAATATTATTCTTGTGAGAAGAAAGATTCCTATTGCATATGTGTCACCAATGATTTCAAAACATACATCCTTGTCCCATGATGCATAAGCAGTTACAAGGAAAGACAGCGCTTTTCAGTCATAGAAAAAAAAAAAGCGCGCAGGCGTTGAGTCATCTTTGGCCACAAGTAATCTGAATATCAATGACATGTCATCAACTGATATAAAGTGCGAGGTGAGGGCGATATTTAATCGAGACCAAGACAAAATTTATTCAGTTATTTGCCATTGTCAGTCTCACCATGTTCAGAAATCTGTTAGGTATGTTCAGTACTATGCAAGGATGTTGATTTCTTCAGTTTTCAATTTTATGATGCACAACTTTGGTTTTTGCTTCAGTGTTCTCTCTTCTACTGCTGACTGTTTCCCGTTGCACTGATCTATCAAAAGATGCAGCCTATTTACTATTATCCGAAGGGTCCGACAATTCTACAGTGACTCCAGATCCTGAAAACAGTACAGATAGCTCTTATGTCGTCTCATATCTTTACGGAATTTCACTTCCCATGTTAGTAGGCGTCACATTGTATTAAATATGTCATCTCATATTATCAAGTATAATAAACGAAGACGGAGACGTGTACTTCATATCAAGATGAAACATGACTATTATGATTAGGAAATGACCTGTATCCTTCTTGACAATTTCTTTTTTATTGCAGCACTATGTGATATTGTTAAAAATTATATCTCATGAGTGAATTGTCGAAGACAATGAATGATACAGCATTTGTACCTATAAATATTATACCGGTGTATTTCACAGCAAAAGCAAAGCGGAATATCTATAGATTATATTATTGATTAACCACAGCTCATACCTCACATTCCATGGTAAGGATGTATATATAAACGCTGCTTATGCCAAGAACTGCATACTACACAAAGGAATCTCCTTCATTTTACAATACAAAAGCACCTTCATCAATTATTCAAGCAAGCAGTTCGGCCGCATCATAATGCCGGTCGCTCTTCTACCCACTGCTTTTAGGTGAGAAGCGCAGGGTTTAGGGTCCTTTGGTCGCAAAATTTTTTGGCGTGTTCATGTTAGTAGAAGGGAAAAAACCAGGCGCGTTTTGTACTCTTGGAATTAGGAACATCATAGGTGGTGCACTGCTAAACTTTTAGACACACTGTTCTCAAAGATAAGTAAAAGAACACAGCATTTTATGGCTTAACTCAAAGCTTGCGTTGCTGCCAAATTTACGGGGTTACTGTGAGTTATGCTTTTTGGTAAGATTCCGACTATAATAATATCACTTATCTCCATTATTCTCTTCATTATCTCCGTCAAAGCAATTACAAGTTTCACCTTTTTAGTTGCACCGTCCACCCAAATTCTCGACTTCCATGTTTTATCGTCTGAAGCTTTCTCATGTCCCTAATTTCAAATATCCAGTCGAGAATCCCCAAAACCCCTACCCCCGCAGGGCGATTCTCCGGAAAAGTGATTGGTTGGATGCGCACGGATGGGCGGGACGAACGTCACGCCCACTGGGAGGAGCCAACGTGGCGAATGCGTCATCCGAAGCGATTGTCAAAGCAATGTTCTCGCTTCGCAAGCAACTTTTGGCAGCGCCAATTGGGCAATTATACAGTTGGGGTTACTGCAGGGCATCAAGATCTTATCGACCCCATTAGTGGACGGTGGCTTTGAACATACACTACATGTAGAGAGGTATTAAAGGTTATTTCTTGAAATCAACAAACATTGGCAATATTATGCGTTCTTCTGGAGAATTCAACTTCATGAGCGAAATAATTGCTCACGTAATTACTACAGCCTATAGATCATCATAAAAATGAGATTATGTGCTTGGTCAAGTTGCATCTCAGTTGTTGTTCTTTTCGGTAGCAACCATGTAAAGTTTATATAAGGTTTCTTGTAAAAATTTGTGTGCAAAAATGCAGAACGCCTGTGGTTTGCGAGGCGTTTGAAACCGAAACCAATCAGCACCTCAACTTGATGCGTACGCCAAAGATGAGATGATTATATACTTTATTACCATGTTTGAATGTACAATGAGTTCTCAGTTTTCAAGTTCCATTTCGCTCATTTTCAGTCTTGCTATGCAGCACAGGTTTGTTAGGATGGTATATTTATTCAAGTCCGGTCTAACGTTTCGGCGCCTTCGCCGTCTTCAGAGGCCTTTATACAACCGCGCTATGATGTGTCCGCACTGGAAGGAATTGACACAGCGACCGGAAATTAGTGACAGAAGCGGACAAGCTCGCTTCCAGTCGCTCTTTCAATTCCTTCCAGTGCGGACACACCATAAGTTGTAATAAATTGGCCTCTAAGGACGGCGAAGGCGCCGAAACCTTAGGCCGACTTGAATAAATATAACCATCCTAAGAGACCTATATGGGAAGCAAAATTAAAAAAGTGTTCAAAAAGTGTTCTCTAATATAGCGCCACTTCCAAGAATAAACACTTATCTTGCCGAACTTTTGTGTATGATTATTTATCGATACCATACCTCTTATTCGCAAGGTAACAAATCTGTCATATGCTCCAAAATGATCTTTGATTTAATGCTGAATTACAAACATGTTGGACCTAAACGAGTTGCTTCAAAGGTGCCGATCAAAAACGCAATCCTTTCAAGGCAAGGGTGGTCTTTTGCCACAAACCCCACAATCTATCCCTAAACGTCACACAATTTAAGCGGATAAGTGATTCATAGCACACTAAGCTCTTTTCCTCTTTATGGCATGTTAGTGGCAAATCCGTACGATGAGATTTATTATCATACGCTCAAAATGGCACTTCTTTGGAGCCGTATAATGAGCCCTTGGACAAAATACGATAATAGCGGTGCGTATAACATAACTAGCTAAGGCCATATATGGACAAAGGCCTTCTACGAAAGTTTTCAGCCGTCTCATAGCGAAAGTTTGTTTCAGCTCCGCCTTAAACAAGCCCGCAAATTTTTAGAAATCCATTGTTTTTAAGAAGAGGGGAGAGCCAGCCATCCACATATTAGGTTGTCCCAAAAGTAAACTCCTTCTTCGAATGAATCAAACTGTTTCTGTCTTTCTGGCAGAGAGTACAATTTGATAGAGTACGCAAGCTCTACAAAGTGACCACCAACTAATTCGTAATTCAGGTAAAATTTGGAGCCAAAAGTCAAAATTCAGTTATCATAAAAATCGCATGTTCTTCCACAAAATTTTTATGGACCTCCAATTTGCTTATTACGAGTAGACATCTAGCAGTACCCAAAAGTGCATTTGGTGGATTTTTCCCGGGCTTGAAGTCGAGAAATTGAAATCGCCCGGAAGTGCGAAATTGTCACTTTGTCAATTTTTTTAAATGCTGAACTTGGTATTTCTCGATTACCAGAGCACAAGCACGGGTAAAATGTTGAAGTTATACTTAACAAGGCTGATGTATTCGATGGCATATGTGGTAGGAGCTGAGGCGGAGTTTGCCATTTTTGGACTGCCTTTTTTCTCGTTTTCTGAGCGTGAAAAAATCCAGGACGAGATAATTGAATACCATTATGTGTCTATATGAATGTGTTTATGTCCAAGTCTTTATAATGACTAGGAATTCTGTAGGATTTATTCTCGCAAAGACCCAATTTTCAGGTGATAAAAATTTTTCGATTTTGGCTCTAAACTTTACATGATTGCGACTTAGGCGACTTCTTGGTGGCCATTTTGTAGAACTTGCTTTGCTCTGTCGAATGATATCCTAAGTATGCTAGAAAAAGAAAAAACATCCTGATTTATTTAAGGAAAGGAGTTTACTTTTGGGACAGCCTAATAAAATGCAATTAGATTTTGCAAAACAAGGGAATTTGTTGGTGCATATAAATTTGTGCATAAAAAATTCCTGATTTCCCGATTTTTGATTTTCAATTCCTGATTCTCAGGAGTACTGCCATCAGCATCCTCAATTGATGCATGAGTGTACAAGCAAGTTCATCAGTTTTGAAGCAGAACAAGCAAGTGTAGGTAATTTTGTGTTCTTTTTTGCTCCTAACTATGAAAAGGCGTGTGTTTTGAGCAACGGAGGGTAGTCTCGTCTTTACCAGCCTATCACTAAAAAGCAAGAGACAAGATTTAGAAGAATCGAGACGTTTGGCCTTCTAAAGGACAAGCTGATAAGGATGGCCGACTGGGTATTAAGCAACTATAATCTTCTTCATTTGAGCGCAGAGATTCCGGCGGCAATCACGCTATAGTCGTCTGCAAATGTTAGGTACGTAAAGTTTGCAATTTTTAAATACTATTGTTCTAAAATTTATGCTTTGCAGTTTTTATTCATACTCATCAATAATGATAGGTGAATTAGTGATGAGGTTAGTGTACTATAGCCACATGAGAATTAAAATAAAGATCTTGTCGTTGTTTTTGCTAAAAAATGATGGTACTTTTCCGTTATCCGGACCCATTTTTGCAAAAGGCTCTCAAATTATATGTTCTTCAGTGTAAGAATAATTTTTCATAGATTTTACGAGGACTGCTCCTTTGCCACGTGTCACAAAAAATTGACACGTTTTGGACCATTTTGACAAGTTTTTTTCGAAATCATTTCCGGTGAAATAAAAGAGAATCCGCGATCATTTTAAGCTGTTTAACTGTTTTATATGAGCGCAAAACAATCATGAACTTATTCCAGGACTTCTTGCTTCCTTTCAGCAGTGATTCAGAAGTGCATTTCTTTTTAAACCCTTATCGCCATGCGATTTTCGCCGAAAAGACTATAAATGGTAGCTTTGAGTACCTTGCGGCTGCTTCTTATGCCTCTCAAATCCTAGCGCACTTCTCTATCCGGAGCAAGTTTAATCGGTCCTCTAATCGGTCCATCGATGATAGTATTTATTATTATTATGAAAAGTTCACTTTTAAACTGTTTGATCGAAATGAGGCCAAAATTAATTAAAAAACAGACTGAACTTACATCGCCTAGGTAGGGTAATACAAACTCTTGTTAAAACCTGTTAGACATGTAGACGACACGTCAAATTTTTTTTGCCAAGTAGCAGAGGGTTGACACTCCTTTTTGTGAAGCTGGGACAAAATATGGTACAAGGGAATCAATATCTTTCTTTGAAAAAATGGGTCCGGATAACGAAAAGTACCAAAATGATTATATGGGTTGTTTCAAAAGTCCTACCCGTTTTCGATGTTTAAATTCGCATTCTTTTTATGAACAGTCATTGCGAATGTAAGAAACTGTATTACAGTCTACAAATTGGCAATAATGTGCATTCTCAAAAATGAGAGCAGCAACAACGAGAAAGATTTTCGGAGCGAAATTCGTCAAACATCTTTTTTTAGGATTGGAATGTATTGGAACTGAACTAACAATGCTCATTGTGTAGCCAATACTTGGATAAGCGGTACTGCTAATCTTGATTTTTATAAAATTTTCAAGAAAATTTTCTTTGAGGAGAAAATTCGAAATAAACAACTTTTGCTTTTTTGAGGTAGCAGAAAATGCACAGTTTTTTGATATTGTTTGCTACAGGCAACTGAGAAGATTTTTTGGCTCTTCTAATCATAAATGTTCTAGGTCTAATCTCACTGTACAGAAAAATTCTGTGATTGCCTTATAATTATGATTTACAAGTGACTTACATGGATTGTGACGACACGTCATGTCTATGCTAGGAAATAGGTTCGAAATTTTCCCAAAATCACTCGTTAAGCATCTGCAATCACAGGTTCCACCAAATGTATATATTTCAAAAAAAAATCTTCTTCTGACTGTAGATTTCACGTCAATAAAAAAGGAAGTTTCTACCTTTGTCTTGCTGCCATTTAGGGCATGGAACTACATAATGAGCAAAACTCTACAAAAACGAAAGCATGGACGAAACTAAAAGAAAGAAGTTTCCAAGCGATTTAAGTATGGCTCATGAAAGCTGTTTCTTCCTCCAAAATTAGCAGCTCAAAAAGAGGTAGAAAAACAGGGGAACTTTTGAAACGACCCGATATATTTGCCCACATCAAAACCACTCGTTGAGTAATCATGAAAACTCTCGAGTTGCGAAAACAGTGAGACTACGTTGCTGGCATTGATCCTCATAAATGTTACTAGGATATTCTGTAAAATCCTCTCAAAATCAAATCAAAATCAAAAATCAAAATCAAAATCATCAATCAATCAAATCAATCATTTCATACATTTTTACAGTGTGACCGCTGTACGGTGTATGCTGTATGCGATTATATTCGGTCATCCCAGGTTTTTCGCTTCCTTCTTTTCCCGTGCCTTCTTTTCGCTGCTAATTCCTCCCGACATTTTCATCGCTCGGAAATCTGCTAAATTTTACTTTACTTCTTGACTCCCGGAACAGATATCAAACATGTACAACAAATGACGGGCTACAAGCTTATTTTTGGATTCCTTTTACTGTATAGATTTTAACGAAAACATTTTCTGTAATTTCGATTCTGGTAAGATTACGAGATTGCAGCAAACAAGAAATTCCAGGGTTTTTGCAATATTACTTAGTTAAGTATCTTTCCGTTATCCGGACCCTTTTTTTCTAAGAATGCTCATGAAGTACGTAGCTTATTTTGGGGGAGATTGAAATCCAAGTTTCACACTACTGTGTAACGGACTATTGGCTAACAATAAGCGAAAATTCTTCCTTTCTAGTATTTTTCAAAGTAAGTAATGTTCTCTTGAACAGAACTTTCCAGATCTCGGCAACTTTCAAGCCAGAAAGTCTTTCCCCTGATGAGTACAATTATACACGTTGTATAGCGAAAGATTTGCCTTTTATAATATTTTACACTCACAAAGCTTGATTTGAAAGAGAATCATCTCGAATTGATGTTGAGGCCGAGAAAAGTGCTTTTGTTGTGAAGCACCTAATTCATTGAGATCATAATAAACTACATGAATGTACTTGGCGAACCAAAAACAGCACTCAGTACAGGTGGCACCTAGACTTTTGCATAGAACGATTTTGATTTCGTAAGGAACTATAACATTGTAAATAAGGTCCAGGGCGCGGCACGAGGTGGGCAGACGGGGTTTTCCAAAACGAATTCCCCTTTGATCCCAATAGATTTTACGAATACCCCCCTGAGCACAAAAAAAAGTCGCTTTGTGCCTGTGCAAGAGAGCACGGGCCACACTTCGCCTAAAAGCGCTCAAAAGCGCCCAAAATGCTCAAATTCCATTACTCCTCACCTGTATCAAGATAGGAAACAAGAAGAAGATTAAGCAAGAAAAATGATGAAGGAAAAAAATATCAAAGTAATGAAAAAATATCAAAGTAACGCAGTCATAGGACTGAGATACGCCGTTCTCGCGCGTATCGATTGACTGGGGCGCGCTTTCCATCTTAGAAAGCTAGGCTGCTGATGCGATTTTGGGCTCTAACAAAGGCAAGAGGAGAGGTTTCGGAACCAAAATCTCACCATATGGTAAACTTTAGGTGCACAACAGATTTGTGTAAAAGATTTTAAGATTTTAAGAATTCTGAAAAAATTATGTGATTTGAAAGTTTTGCCCACCTCAGGTGGGCATTAAGTGGGCAATTCCCCACCTAATTTGGAAAAAAGTTGGGCATGCTCTTCATTCACATAAAGTTTTCATGATTTTACATACTTTGTTCTCTAGTCCTACTGCGCGTATACACAGCGAATGTCACGCGATTTCGTCATCTTTGCGTTGCAAACGAGCCATTTGAATTCACATCTTCATTTACCATTTTGCAAATTTTTTGGAAATAATGCTTATTACTCCTCCCATTCGCATAAGTTTCTCATAGTATTTCACACTTTGTTTCTACTAACCTCTCTTCGTTCGCTTACGTAATTTGGTGCTATGTCGTTACGCCTGCATTGAGAACTGATCATGTAATCATGCTGTTCAACGGCACCGCTCACGCGACGCCGCGCATGCGGCAATTAGCGGCAACGCGGCGTAGCGCGCGCGAACTCTGCTATGCGTTGAGGTTTATGAAAATTATTTCTCAATGAATTAGATGTATAAGGTAGGCATGATTCGACCTTCTTTTGCTTGCACTTGGAATCTTCTTGGATCCCGCAAAAACGATATCCCTTTTGCTTTTAGGCCTCAAAACGATTTCTTCCAGCTTGTCATTTGCCCACCTCGTGCCGGGCCCTGATAAGGTCCTCCAAGAAAGTGAAAAGACAAGAAAAGACCAAATAAACACTAATTACACATTAAACAGGCTACGATGTCCACACTGGGTAGTGGCAGCATGTTATCTCTGTTGTACACTACTGCGCGCTTGGAGCAGGATTAGGAGTTTTCAGAGTAACCAAGGCGGAGAAGAGGGGTTTAGGGCAGTTTAAAAGCTGACACCCAGGATTTAATATTTGGACAAAAGATACGAAAAGGGACCAAAGAACAAGATAAGAAAAAAATAAAAGTATCATTGTTTTCATGGATCACTCCAGATATCTTATCGAGTGTCACTAGGTTACTTAACACGTTGACGTCGAGCTGTTTTTTTGACGTCTGCCCTTGTGGACGAACCGTTTCTGGTCTTTTTACACTTAGCTGCATGTATGTATAAATGCATTTATGCGCAAGATACAAAAATGCAAGTGGGCGGGGCAGCCCGCCCATTTTTGGCAAGTCCCGCCCACTTTTTAAAAATGCCAGAAATTGCACAAAATTTACGAATCCGTGCAAATCCCGGCACTTTTAAAAAGTGGGCGGGGCTTGACACTGAGGGAGCGGAGCCTGCATAACGGGAGGTGGGGTTAAAATTAAGGTTATTTTGAGTTTCCCCAGTCATCTACGAGCTTTTCTGTGCTATTTGAGAAGGAAAAAGTTTTCTGTGTAGGGCAACAGAGTGGGCGGAGTTTGAAAAGGGGGTGGGGCCATTATGAAATATTGGCCCCCCTCCCTTTCCAAGCCTAAGTTGAATAGAGCACAAATCGGAACCATTGTGCATAATAGAACTGATATTTTGGGTGCGCGCACCATTGCGCGACATCGTCCACAACGACAGACTGCCTGTCGCGCAATATTGCGAGACGTGGCAGTCTGACCCTGGGGTAGAGGACTATATGTCGCCGAAAAAGGGCGGTCCCCGCGATTATTCGTGACAAATACGCACCTTGTAGATGCGCGGACATGCGTTCATGCAGGAAATCCGCGCGGGACTCCTCCACATTCGGCAACATATAATCCTCTACCCCTGTCCCTGTGGACGATGTATTAAATTGGAAAAAAGCTTGCCACGCCTTTGATTTGAATAACTTTTTGATACGTCTGCATGCAATATCCTTGTTCTCCGTCAAGCATGTGTGCAACAAGGTTGAAGTTATTACATTACGTTACAAGAAACTTTGGCGTCCCCTTCATTCCACTAGATTTTCATAATTCTTATGTTAAAATCTGGACTTTTTACGATGTTAAGCAAATGTATGCAATTTTTCCGAGTCTCCTTTTCGGACATTACGACATTACCATTGCTTTTTCCCCCGAAAAATTACCCGGCTTGCTCTAGAGCTTCAATATTTTTTTTAAAAGCGACAACAAAGCAAATCTGCGTTGATAGAACTGTTAAAGAGCGCGAGCTAATAGACTGAGATAAGAACATACTAGTACACTACTCTGTGGTCGCAACGGAAAAGTGGAAATTGTTGAGTGAGGGTAACTGCACGTTCACAAAGTCCGTAGGAGCAGGAGTAACTTCATCAGATTTCCGGCCTTTTGAAGGGATTTCAGCGTTTTTCGGTTATTGAATATGGTTGTCATAAAGGGCATCTTGAAAACCTACTCATTGATGTTTTTCAATGGGTTCAACAGCTACAACAGCTGGCTCAAATCAGACTGGCGAACGGAAAAAACACTAATTGTTTTTTGCAGTGTGGTTTAGCAGGGGAAGCAAAAAGACGCCGCAAATTAATTTTCGACGTTTGCAAAAAAAAGATTTTGGCAAGATTTTCAAAGGTATACTAGATCGTTAATTGTATAATAGATTTGATAATTACGTTCTACAGCAAGATTCTACTTCTCAGAACTTTTTGAGCTATTATAATTTACTGTCGAACCAATCCTCGAATTCAAGGTGACATTCTTTGCATCTTAGGCAAAATTGACACTGTGACGTATTTGGGGGGAGGGGTTCGTTGACAGACAGCATAAGACCATCTGAGAGCAGTTTTTGTAAGCCACTGCTTAGAGCCTCTGTGAACATCCTTGAGAAAATGCCTTCTTTAAAAGTAAAAAAAATGTTGTTTGTTGTGGTTAATCCGCAGCAATCACGCGATATCACAAATGGGGTAATCTGGAGAATACTTTGACAAGATGACAATGCTACGTGACTAGACACTAATACTGGGAAAACAGACGAAAGTATTTAGTGGTTTAGACTTGTGGGGAGCGCATAAATCAAAACCAAATTCTTTTCCAAACATAGCAGCATATAGCATAAACCAAAGGCGCAGTAGTTTGATTTGCACAATTTAAAGAGACGTCTACCTGGTCTTCAGTCAGCCGTAGCATTCTAACTAAAACCTGGAGTTTCTACTGGGTCTGACCGCAAACCCATGATAATTTTGATATAATCGAGAACTGCCAACGCATTTTTGTTGTAAAAATTTATACCCCACTAATCTCCAAAATGTGTAAGTTTTGATGCAATGACAAAGAGGATTAACAACGGTGTTGTAAGACAGTGATTTTTAATCATTTAAGCACCTGCCAAGAAGGCAGAAAGCATAATCGCTAAATTTCTTGCAACGAAACCCGTGGTTCAATGTCTACCCAATGTCTACTTGATAAGGATGGTTTATGAAGTGAGAAAATAAGATTAGTTGTTAAGAAAACCAAGGCGTAGTCGAAAGAAGAGCAAGGTGTAGTCGAAATGACATGCTTTGTGCGTTGTTCAGGTATGATATTTTCGAGAATAAGCGTTCCCTTTCAACGGCAGCGTCCGGGCAAGATCCACCCACCCAGATTAGCACATAGTTGTTAAGCGGGCCCCATGAGTATCCGTTCTGCGTTGGTCCGATCCTTTCCTGTGGCCGCTAGAAGGAGATACGGGCCTGTGATACGTATCACAAGCCGCCCCATGTATCACAAATCTCCACCTGAGGACGTGTGCTCACCCATCGATCGATCGTGCATCGCAGCTGCACCCATGCAGTTGCAGCTCCTTGTGGCGAGCCGAGGAATAAACAATCCGAAACTCGTTCGCGCCCCTAGAACAGGCCCCAGGAATTGAGTTTTTTGGGGGTTTGGACAATTTGAACTTTATAGTTGTAACCAAGGCCACGGAAATGCCCTAGAACGACAAAAGCACGAGAGGCGAAATTTTGCCCGGACGCTGCCTTTAAATAGATTTTGATTCATAGCTTCTTTGACTGTTTATAGAAACTAACTTTCAACTTAACAGGGAAGGATACTTGGTGACCCCGACCATTCATAATGATTTGTATATCGAAAAATGCGCCTTCTAATGGTGGTTCGAATACAGTTTTCCATATCTGCGAAACGAGAACCTGGATGGAGTTTAATTATTTTTTCAAGAGTAAACTGCCTTACTGCGGAGAGTGAAAATCATCAATAAAAATTTTGCCTTTTTCTTTAGATCTGAATGTGATCTAGAGAGATATAAATACAACGTTACACCTTTCAAGATTCTCCTCAGTAGCTTCAAACGGTAAAATAAACCAAATTGGGGTGATTTTAACTACCTAAAAGTACGCAAATTTTTAACGAAAAAAAGTTTATAACTGCCTTCATATGAATGTTTCGCAGATTTCGAGCACAGATTTAGAATCAGCGTTTCGAGATGCACCTTATGATAAACATCGCATACCAAATGGCTGGGGTCAGCAAGTATCCTTTCCTTGTTAGACATAACTGTAAATTACCCTAACTTCACGATTTCAAGACGCACCCTGTTTTTTTCCCTGAGCTCGACCAGCGCAAACACACAAAAAAAAATTCGGACCCTCTACGTGCTGCTCCTTACTTGAAGGTGTGGAAGTGCAAAATTTCGCACAGTCATGCTGCCAAGCTGTTTGCTTGAAAAGAATGAAAGAGGTCTTTGCTCGTGTCTTGTACTCGTAAATTTAGGGTAGTTTCGGTAAAGATTGTTCGTGCAACATGAGTGGTGCCAAAGAATTTCTGGTGCAAATTTTTCTTCTCAGGCTGGAAATCAAAGTTCAATTTTTCAGTAGCATATCTGCTTCTATTAGTGACCATCAGTAGCTGTGATGATGCATCGACACAAATAACAGAGTCAACGCCGTTGCAGTATTCTTCAGCCATCTCTACAGCGACAGAAGCCGCGTCAATTTCGTCCGCTGCATTGTCTACAGATAGTCAGAGTACCAAGGACGTCACAGAATCTACTACTCAAAGTATGTGAAATTTCAAGAATTGGCGAAACATTTTTTACCTTTTCAAGGTGCTACTCAAACAGCAACGGAAGTATCTTCAAGCAAAACCACTTTATTTACGTCCGAATTTTCGTCTTCAATACCCCTCTCGTCCACGCCAGGAATATCTTCAAGCTCGATTGAGCATTCACCCACTTCAGCTCTAACATCGCCGCAGGCACATTCAGACGCTTCTCAAACTTCTCCGTCTTCAGCCCTACCATCGTCCATATTGACAACATCTGCAGGCACAGCTGAGCCTTTAGTCACTTCAACGCTACACTCGGCTCAACCAAAAACAACTTTCTCGACTTTAGCGCCGACCTCGCTCAAGCCATCTTCTCCAAGCACGGTTAAGCATTCAACTTCAGCAAAATCCTCGTTTACACCAGAACTCACAAGCACAGCTCAATCTTCTCTCTCATTATCATCCTCACCCACAGTATCCACTACTTCGAGGCTTCCAGATATTACAACTAGGACGTCAACGTCGAAATCTACAAAGCTCACGCAGCCGGTAACGCAGCCGACAGTTCCAGTTATCACCACAACAACTGAGAACTCATCGATGTCAAGCGTACTATACAGCATTCTTGCTGCAACACTGCTGACTGCTTACTTTACAGCTCTGAATGAATGAATAAAACTTTGATGCTGTGCGCAATATACTTGATCTTAAAAAGACATACTTCATGCTTCGGATCGCCACTATGTGTCAACTTGGAAAGAGAGTGAGCGTTCCATCTCATAATATTTTTCTTTCGCCTTGTCATCGAATTCTTTTGGGTCTTCCAGTGAGAAGATTTGAGTGCAACAAGTAACAGGTGACAAGTCCATTAATGTAGCTTTCTGGTTACGATCAATCTGACGGAGATGTTTACTCTAAGTCAGTGTTCAGCTAGACCAAAACAAGATGGTGTAACTGCTGTGAGAAAATGGTCAAAATTTCATAAAATCTACATAGCAGTCAAAGAAGTTAAGTGCTTCGAAATTCTGATCTCGAGCCTGTGCTCTATATTTGCACAGCGCTTTCCCATGAGAAAGTTTTGAACGGTCTTCCATTACAAAATGGTATTGTTGCAGAAAGTCAAAAAGAAATTACGACACCCCCCCCCCATCCTCCCCCGCCGGAGGTCTTATTGTCAGTGGACCCTCTGGAATAAACATAATGAGCGCCACATTAATTAGCATGTCAAATAACCCCCGGTGAGCCAAGTTTTAGCGAATTCTGGAGTGGTAGTAATATGGTCGAAACCAACGAATGATGTGGTAGTTTCATCATGATTACATCGTGGTAAGCATGATCATCTTCTTACGGCCGTTCAGTTCAATCGGTCATACAAAATTATGAAACATGCAAGTTACTTTCGGAAAACCATACTTGTTTCATGCTTGTTTCATTCTAAACCAAACTATGAATTGATCAGCAAGTTAACATTATTGTTTCCTTATCAGGTAGAGTAATGAAAACAGCATTTCATTTCGTGAGACGCAGACGTGAAACCACCATATCATTGTTTAAAATGAAAAAGTACCCCCGACCACTTTTTCGTTTAAAAGAATGATGTGTTGGTTTTGCAAGTTAAGGAGAGTGAGGGAGATCATTTTGCAACTTACTATGAGAAAGCTTACTTGTTTACAGCTTAGATAAGGTTATAGTAAGGTGCAAGGCTGGAGACCGAACTGCAAATTTGGTAAAGTGCAATGATTGCCGACAAGCATGAGAATGGTTGGAGTTTCGATCTCCTCCACTGTCTTTGCTTTGCAAGATAGCATTTCGAGGTTTCCTACTGGTTAATTCCTGGTTTCGTTGGGAAAATGATGTGAAGCTGCTGGTTAGCTGGTGTAATGAAAACACAGTTAACATGATGGTTTCGACCAAATTACTACCACTCCTGATTGTTCAAGCATTGGGCCGCCCAAGTGAAATGGGTTTTCAACCACATCTCCTTGCACTCTACACAAAGCACTACTTCGCCTTTGCCCACATGAGGAATCCCACTCTAAACAACCGCCAAATTATGGTATCAGAAGCCAGTCATTTTCGCTTTCAAAGGTTTGCTTCAGCAACCGCTATTCAGAAGGAGGAAAGATGATTAGGTTCAACATGTAATGTAGAAACTGTGAGATTTAGGCTAGAACCATGTATGCATATCGTTTGTTTGTTTGTTTAAAGGCAAATTGTGGGGTTGTGCCGCACTCCTTCAACTTTTCAAAGAATTGTACACCTATTTTATGTCATTGAGACCCGCTAAACGTTCTTCTCTTTATGGTAGGAATTCATCCAAATGTGCTACTACTAAAAGAAGAAGTTTTCTTGAAAACCATGTTTACGGCAGATATTATGTTATGATAATGAGCTAAGTTTCGCTACTACGTGTATTGAAATGTGGCAAATTGTAAATAATTGATAGTTCAGATTTCGTAATTTTTGCAGGATTTGTTTTGAGTCCAATTCGTCTTCTTGATTTTAAGTAGTACTCGTTGAGAAAGCTAAAATGAGAGAAATAATATCTTGGTCGGCTTTTGATTCTAGTTTGGGGTTATTTGGAGTGAGATTTCCTGTGATGAAGAAGTAGTGCATTGTATTGAGTGCAGAAGAGTAAGCTGGCTCACTTTCAAAAGTTAATCGCTTAGATATGACTAATTCACTTAGACTGAGCTCATAGTGATTCTCATGTTCCGAAGCAGTTCCAGCTGGAACTGTTACGGAACTGTGCTGGAACTGTGCTGCACGCGCTGCAGCCGCCCGGCACTCGTTTTGAACGGCGGGAGTTGGGGAATTTGGACCGTTTTCAACGGTTTTTCTTCCAGATTTCTCTTATTTTGGCCTTATTACTCCACCTCGCTTCCCTGATCAGCAGAACTTTGAACTTAAAGCGGGATCAGGGGCCCGGCACGAGTCGGTTTCTAGGGTTTCTGAAAACGAAGTCTTTACGACTTTCGGAAGTTATACGAAGTCCCCTTTGACCTACCTACTTAGGAAAAGATGAGGACAAGAAAGATTTAATAGTCTGAAAGAAAATACGTGAGATAAGGGTGAAAATCATTGAAGCTAATGTCCGTATGCACGTACATCCCCGCGGGGAGGGGATGTGCGTTTAACCATTGAAATGATCCCCGCTGGGGCTCCCCTCCCTTCCCCACGCGAACCCCCGTATGCAGAAAGACAATACCGGAGAGGGGATCCCCTGGGAGTAGGGGAGGGGAGCCCCCTTATGCAGAAGGGGAGATCAAGCGGGGAATTCATTTTGCTTCCGCTTTCTTGCAGTAATTATTCCTTTTTTCTTATCTTTCGAAAGCTACTGGCCTTCAGTGTATCTCGGCAATATTTAGTCGTTGCGGAATGCCGTCTGCCGTGATTGCGGTCGGCGCACTAAAAAATATTTCCTACATCTGTCATATTCCTGCTGTTTTCATGGATGCTGCCCATTTCAGCGTAAAGTTGTTCAGTAACAGAAGTCAAGGTGTATCTGCAGTGAATGGGTAGAAGACGTTATGCTGCCGAAAAAAGGGGGGGGGGGGGGCTGCCGCGGACATTCAAACCAGCATTTCTACACATAATTGAAGCTGCAAATCGTGCCAGCTCTCCATAAACGCTGTAGCTGCATATCGTCCTTTACCCCGGGGGAATGATCCCCAGCGGCCATCCCTGCTATGCACTAGGGGAACGCTGGGGAGGAAATCACTCCCTCGAGGATCTCTACTCAGAAACACGCGAGTCTGCTAATTTTCATTTTATTCAAAGCATTACAATATGTTGTACCAGCCTTAATGGATAAAACTATCATGTCAAATAGAAAATGCGCAACTCTCGCAAATGGTCACAAACTTCTACAGATATTTGAAACTGGCAGATATATGTCCGGCTTTTTTTTACAAGAACCGAATATGGAAGAGAGAGTTAAAACTGCAAGCTACAGGTCGCTGAGAGAGGAACCCGACTCCCGTAGAAAACCTTTCATCAATTTGAACGAAATGCTTTGTAATAATTGATTGATATCAGAATACTCGCTTCTCAGGCTTGATCTACACCATCGAACCCCTACTCTATTGTAGGGGATGTCGATCCCCTCCCTCGCGTTGTTTAGTTAAATTCGCGCACACGGGGTTCGAGAGGGATCCCTTCCCCCATTCGAACCCCGTATGCACTGAGGTTCGCTCGATCAATACCTCTGAAACCATTCACACCATCCCCGCTTAGGTGCAGGGGAGAGGATCGCTCCCCTCCCCTCTTCATGGCGGGGTTCGGAGGGGATCGTTCCCCTGGGGATCCAGCTCCCCTCCACTCCCCAGCAGGTCGTACGTGCATACGGGCCTAAGTACTGCGCATGCAAAAAAGTTGGGCATTGGAGCGCGATATTTAAGAAAGCAATTTATGAAGAGACTGAGGCAAAAAACAAAGGAAAGGCAGTGATATGAAGATGTTATTATGCTCAGGGTTAAATTTTTGACTGTGGAATCCGTCCATGATAGAAAAATCCAAAACTTATATGAAGTAACAGAAATATATGCTCCAGACGACCTCAGATCGTCTGGTGACCGTCTGGAGACGGACTCATTTTCAAAAAGGTAATACTTCACTTAAGTTCTTGAATCTTTTTGCATAATTCTTTTAGAAATAATTTTCTAAGTATACAGTTCAATTTTGGTGTCATACGATTCTATGTGCGCTGTAAACAAGCAATTTGTTTGTTTTAGCCTTGCTTCAAAATCGCACGCTCTTCCCGGTACACGATAGAGTATGTTTATCGTGTGATGAAACCTGTTCGAAAAGCTTGTGTTCGACTAAATGGCACTTATTCTTAATGTCTGGCTCCAACTCGTCGGCAACGATATCTCCTTTGCTTTTTGTCCCCAAAACGAAGTTCAGCCTGCGATCTGTGCCGGGCCCTGAGCGGGGTTGAAGAATGAGCGCTTTGCTGCTTTGCGTATGCGACAAAACGTACGTTCATAAGCTCATCCATTTCCTCTTCGCTTTTTTTACTCAGACCATTTTTTGTTCCAGGAAGCCGCTGCGTATTTTTCATAGCCCTCTGCCATTAATTGGGGCGTGCGAGCAATTTTGAAGTTGCATAAATCAAGACTTTTCTCTTGTTTTCTGATGAGTTTCGTTCTTGGGCATTCTCGCCTTTTTCCTTTTTCTATATTATTGCTTCTCCGTTCTTTCTTCTGCCCCGCTTCTTTTTGTGATGAGAAAAGCTGGGAAATTGAAGCGGGGTTGAAGAAACAACCTTGTTCTGTTCCATGTGTCCATTGGTCTTCGTGTGCTCGTCCATTTTCTCTTCCGTTTTTGCTCAGGGATACTTCATGTGTTCCAGAGACCTGTATATATATATCCTTTCAATACAGTTGCGAGACTACGCAGGGCGTTCCTAAAAGACTTGAAGTAGGTCCGAGCGCAAGAACAGACATTTCGTTCGATAAACAGAGCAGAAAAGCGATCAATCTACAACGCGCTTCGAGTTTGAAGTTTTGTTGATCAAAAAGGGAAGCGGGGTAGAGGAAAGATGAACAAAGCCAAAATGGGAGGAGTCTGGAAGAAAATCGTTGAAAACGGTCATCTTCAACTCCCGCCGTTCAAATCGCGTGCGGGGCGGTTGCAGCTCATACAGCACAGTTCCGGCACAGTTCCGGAACATTTCCGGCACAGTGCGGG